GAGCCAGAGCGTCACGTGAGCGGTCGACGGCTCGGCCGCTGAGACTCGAGTGGTAGTGGGGATCGCTCTCCGGAATCAGCCCGAAATCAGTGATGCGAATTCCGGGGCCGGGCCGCTTGCAGCTAAAGTCACTAGATCTATAAAGTAACGCAATTGTCCGCCATTTTGGCTCCATAACGTGGCAATTTCAAATGACACTTTTATATGAATTAATATTACAAAGAAGGAAAAACAAATAAATACTAAAAATGAAATATAAAATATATTTTATTTGTTTTTCTCACATATAGTCCTATTTTTTCCGTAACATTTATAATTTATCACCGATTTCTTCATTGCGACACTACGACTAGAAGAAGGAATAGCTTTGATAATGTTATCACAGTCTGTTTTTAAAACAAAATGTATACGTGAAATAACAAATATTTTTAGTAGTTTATATATAATATTATGACATATAATATTATCAATAAAATCCGTCGAATACATTTGTAAACATTTATTGACTAATTCTATAGGTTTTAACTTATTAGATAATAAATCAATCTCATATTACCGAAATAATATTTCGCATTTATATATGATATTATACACATTCATAGTAGGAAAATATAATACATTTTTCTTATATTCTCTTAATTTGGTGAAAAGACTTAAATTATTATTATTGACATCATTCGAATTTGTATCAGTATTTACAAGTGCATTAAAACATGTAGTACAATGTTTGTAATTTTTTTTAATTTTATGTAATAATGCACCCGTCAAATAATACAATGCAGTTTGCGTTTCATTATTTAAAGGTTCATTTCGCATTAGTGGAGTGTGTAGTTCTTCATCCCAATCATCCCATATTTCATTCTCAATGCTCTCGAGACATTGTATGTGTCTAGACTTATTTTTATTTTCCAATAGTTTTATTTCTGTACAATATTGTACAAGATGATCGATATCAACAGCAGAATAATTACCACGATTAATGTTTGCCTGAAATTGTGACAGAGAAACAAGACGCAATGATTGTTTAAATTCTCGTGCGTCTGGTACAGATGTTCGCCCATGTATTGTCGAGAATAAATTTTCTAACGCATCCTGCGTAAACCTGCCTAATAATAAATATTTAAAATTTTGTTTGTTTAGATATTCATGTTGTATATCGAGAGCAGTTTGTGTACAATGTACCAAACCGCTTTGGAATGGTTTCCACTTTCCATCTCCAACTGCTGTTATTCCATAAACAATTTCATTAAATTCTTTTAAAAAAGTGATATTTTCTGTGTATATATTGTCCTGAAAATGGGATAGCGCAAGTTTCTCATAACGACTAGTCAGAAGCTTAAACCACTTGTATATTGTGCTTATAAACCACGCTGTAGTTTTATGCACGTAATCAATATTTTTTCTATCTATGTGATATAATATGGCTGCAGCAACGTTGTTGTTTAATAATCCTACACTTAGGGCAACGTTCATTTTATCGAAGTGAGAAGGATTTATTGATTTTTCTTTTAAGTGTGGACACAGTTTTAAAGTATCTTTTTGGTCTAGCATATATACCTCGCGAATAGGTTTGATAGAGACTTTGTTGTGCGGTAAGTTATACTTTTTCACTATTGTTTCATCTAAATAAAAGGTGTTACCTGCAGTTAATGCGCATGCAGTATTTTTAAAAACATGAACTGGATCTGGTGTAATAAATAGTTTATCTTCATTGTTACATGGATGTTGAATGTAATTTTTTAGCTGACTACATTTACCAGCTGTAATATTAAAAAGTCTCCACCAACTCCTATTTTGCGCTCCCATGTCCGAAAGTACTACCTTAATAATTAATCCAATATTGTGTGCCTTTTCAATAATTGTTAAAATCTTTCTCGTCATTTCTTGCGGGCAAAATGAATTGGCTGTATATTCATACCCAATGGTTTGTTTCCACTTAGTAGTAATGCCGCACAACATAAATACCATACTATGTGTAGCTAGCTGATTAGAAGAATCCATTCCTCCTGACAGTTTCATTGTTGGTCGGCCAATAATTGCATTGGTACTTCTGTCATATTGCAGACCAGGTTTTATGGACATTTCATCTATAAGTAGTATTGCATGTTTTTCTTCTGATTTAAATGTCTCTATCTAAAATAGCATAACAAAATACATCATAAGCATTACAATAAAATATGCATATATATAATACTTTTATTTATATTGAGCTGATTCGATGAAAGTAATTTCAGTTAAAATGTACAATACTTATATAAAAATAAATAAATATTATATATATATGTATGTTTGTGTGTATATATCCAAAAATATGAAAAACAATACTAACTTTCATCTTTAACAGCTGCAATATGTCTTCTAAAATACCTGGCCCAAATTTTAAACTTTGTATGCGATACTGTAGAGTACGGATACTTGGATATGGACGTATACTGTAGAGTACGGATACTTGGATATGGCAAGTTCTGCCGTTGCACCTCCTCGTAGCCTTTTCGTCCGCAGGCTACGTACAGTTTCAAGGCTTTATTTATTGTTTGTGCAGATAAAGATCCTCTGTGATTATAATTTGTCAATTTTATTTATTGTTTGTGCAGACCATAAAGATCCTCTGTGATTATAATTTGTCATAAACTTTTGTTGATCTGCGTTGAACACTTTTTCAAAATTTATATTTCTTTTCCGCAATTTTTTCTTCAAAATATTACATTCTCTTTTTTTTTTGTAAAGCTTTTTTCAATTTCCTAATATCTTTATCTTTTTTCTTTATTAATGGAGTGTTCTGTGATTCATCCACAACATTTGTTCCAATATTATTTGTCATGTTATTACTGTTGTCCTCGTTAGTATGACTGTTACTATCGTTACACAAGCTAGTGCAATTTATATTTATTGGGTTCTGCTTGTCATCTATGGAAAATTAAACAATTTAAACTTTAATAACAAATAACAAGTTAACACAGTACACTAAACAACATAAAATCATTATAATTAATAAGTTAATTTATATATACAATAGTTAGGTATACAATTCGAGGCTTCATTTTCTAATTCGCTTGTCATAAAAATGTATAATCTTATAAATATGAATGCACACATTGAAGTTTCTATAAATATATACACTTGCAACTTTAAATTATCCATATTTTTTTATTAATATGTGTTCAAAAATCTAGCCCCAAGTAATATTTATTTTTTATTTATAAGTACTATTGTGTTATTTTATACTTACAAATTTCTATCTCCACAGATCTAGATACCTTTTCTGTTAATTGGTTTTTCGCCTCTATTGTGTGTTTCTCTAATAAATTTGGTTTTGCGAATGGACGGAGCAGTTTTCTTTCATCTTCTCTTTTATTCTCAAACTGGTCCTCGCCAAAATGTGCCTGCAAAATTTACGTAAAAATTACTGTAGTAATACACTGTAATACTACATTATTTCATACATACTTATAATTTTTTATTAACTTACCTCACAAATTACAGCTCTTTCAGGTAATGTATTTTTCTCAATTAATCGTAACCATTCTAATCGCCTTTCGCTATTTCTTTTGCCTGTTGGCAAGCGAAATAAGCGAGCTCCTTTCTCTGTGCGGTTTTTGCACAGATCCACGCAACAACCTGGCATTTTAATATGTATTTTTGCTTTATCACACAGGTTATGTGACACTTTCCGCAAGAAGATACAATTGTACTTTAAGTATAGTTGAACGATATAGAACTGTACTAGTTACACTTTCCGCCGCCATTTTGGCTCCATCGAGAACAAAGGATTTTTAGATTGCATTACTTTATAGATCTAGTGACTTTATTGACACTTCATTCACAGCACCATCTGGATTAATATTCAGGAACTAATTTGTTACTCTAAACAGTCTAAATTGTCGTACATTGTCGATTTCTCACGCGCTAGATACACAATTTCGTAGAATGCTATTATCTTTTTATTTAGACGTTAAAACTCAATTCTAAAGATATGACTGTATTCGTCGTTTTATTCTACATATGCTTCTGCTCTCATTTCGAGCATATAACGTGCATATAATTTTTTCACGAAGTAAATGTTTGGTGAGTTGATAGCACATGGATACAGAAATCCTGTAATTTATTATTTTTCTCAGCTTTGGACACAAAACACACCAGAAGCAGGTACATTAGCACAGATAATTCAATCGTGGAGAAGGAATTTTTATTCTGTGTACTAATTCGTAGAAAATCGCATTTAACATAAACGCTTGCTTTATCGGTAAAAAAGGAGACTCCAGCATCCCCTTAAGATTTAAATTAAGAAGTATTATCACAGTATAACTACAATACAGTAGCGACAGTAGCTGTCGGCTTCTTTGATGTCGGTGGTCACCGATCACGTGACTGTCAGCCATGTTGAGGGTTTTATGGGACCGCTGAATTTGAACAACAAAAGACGTAGTATTTCGCATATAAAGTATTTTCAAAATTCGGATAAATTGTATATATGATTTTAGATATACTACTGTATATATTAATATAGGTCTATATTTATTTCTAATTTGAATGTATTTCTGGAATGAACCAAATGAAATCATAAAACAGTATGTGAAGCATGATATTTGTAAATCAACAATGTATTGACAATTTCAGATAGTACAATGTTTAAAATTGAGACATAAAACGTCTTTAAGATCTCTTTAAGACGCCATAACATGAATCTTTAAGACGTTTTATGTCCCAGCTTTGGACATGTATCCAAATTTGTACTGCCTATAGGATGTAGGATAGGGATAGAGAAAACGATGAAACAACGAAAAATTATATTTACTTAATAAAGCATTTGAGGCTTTCATGGGTATTTTCTTCAATTATACCAGAAGGTTTGCGGGTTATCGCCGTGTCTTTATTAATTTTTAATGCTAATTTATTCATTTTTAATATATTTACTTATTTATTGTAATACTCGTAATTAAGTAAATGTAATAATTATTAATATCATCAAAAATTCACACATAAAATAATGTAGATTTACGATGTTTACACATATTTGACATACAATGAAATATTACATTACTTATACTAGATAATTTTAGACAAAAAAGCGCGTATTTATCCATAGCACGTTCTTATAGAATACGGCATACAAAAGATTCAATAATTTACATATTTTATACAGAATTACGTTATTACAAATTGACCTTTGCCGTGTGTAGCAGCATAATCTTGTTCACAATCAATCATATTTAGAGATTGTGAAATGTTCGATGTCATTCTAAAATCATATTAAATAAATTGCTCATTATATAACTGTTAAGAACCGTTGATAATAGATTGATGTTGTTTCCACTTTAGAATGATTGTAATTCGTGCTTAAGTGTAGACTACTGCAAATGGACAGAGTGTGATTATATAGTTAAACTGAGAAGTGGAGTTAGCAATTGAGACCAGTTAAACCGAAGAAATAAGTAAATTAATTAAATATATAGAAGAATTTGCAGAAGTAAAGTAAAATACGTAGAAAGTTAAAATAAAAAAAGGGTATAGATATATAGAAACATAATATAAATATCGTAAGATCTTAGAGAGGTTGCAAGAATTGAAATAGACGAAATATTAATATTACGATGCATTAATATTTATATAAAAAATATTTACATAAATATAAAAATATTAAAACAAAACAGCAAATAAAATGTAAGCCAAAACATTACAATAAAAGTATTGAAATAAAGCTAATAAAATAAATGCCAACATTTCTTTAATTATGCCTTAAAATTATCATTTTTTTGTGACCTGCCTGAGATTTAAATTTTCTATTAATAAATTTCACAGTGAAAAATAGCCTAACTCTACAATATAATTTAATTAAATAGTGCAATGGAAATTGTAGACAGGGATGACTAAATTCAATACTATTGCAGATAGATATTAATTTTTGAATAATTTGTTGTTGTACTATTAATTGTTTAATATTATCGAAGAAACAGTATTCTAGCTTTTTAATATATTCAATAAAATCATTATTTGGCATGAATAAACTACCATAGAGATTCTCTTCAGTAGAAGTATATGCTCGAAGGAAGCAATAATATGATGTGTTGTCTAAATCAACATATTGTTTTGCATATCTTGAGCAAATATCACAAGAATGTTTATCAATACATTTACGCATAAGATAGCCACAAATGTATCGAAAAGCATTCTGTTCTGTCAGATGCATAGTACGATAATCACGATTAAGTAAAATTGAGTCTTCTTGTTGCGTTATATTATGCATTACAGGATTTTTTGCTATGTAGGTTTTTAATGTAGTCAACATGTCATCGTAGTCCTGTGCACAATTACCGTTTGCTGTATTACAATAGTTCATTGCAAAAAGTTTTCTAAACGTTAAATAAAATTGTACTGGCGTTGGATGGAAAGCATTACCATTCAATGATCTTACTTTTCCAAAAAAATTTTCCAGTGGATCTTGATTAAATCTCCGCATAAGTAAGAATTTGATATCTGGGTCATTTTTTTGTAAATAAGACCATAAATGAAATAAACTGTTAATATTGTGAATCCACTTCTCAAACGCTTTTACATTACGAGAAATATCTTTATTAGCTTTATTATAAATTTTTATATTAACTAAGTATGTTTTCAGTGATAATAGAAAATCTTTTTCAGATTCTGTACCAATAAAAGCTTTTTTATGTTGTTTTTTACTGTTAACGCTAGAAGAATTAAATATGTCAAACAAATTGTCCATATTTTCAATAAATTCAGCTAGATCAAGAGCATCAGCTGGTAAAAGACCTAATGCTACAAGTGTTTTTAAAGCTGAAGCAACAGATGCACTTAAAACTTGTACGGCATATTTGACTTTCATACGATCAAAATTAGTAGGTCGAATATGAGAGTGAGTAAGTTTTGGTGTTAATCGATTTTCGTTTTTTTCGTCTATTGCATACAATTGTTTTATATAAGTCGAAGAAATTTTTTTGGAATTTGCATATATCATATTATTGTAAAGATTATTTCTGCAAGCTTTTTGTAAATGTGGAGGATCAAAGAAATAAAAAATTTGTTCATTATTTATGATGAAATATGGAGAATCTGTTGTGACATTAAGCAATTTTGCCGTTTGTATGAAATTACTACCCATATCTGTAACTAATGCAATAACTTTCAATCCAATGCCTTGTAATTTAGTAATCGTTTCAGTAATCACATTTTTAAGCTTGTCAGCTGAAAATGTTGAGTGTGAAAAATAGTAGCTTAAAGGTTGCTTCCATGACTTGCACATGCCTCTTATCATTAATACTGCAACATTACATGCAGGAGAGAAAGACTTGCCATTTCCTACATCTTCAAATCCTATTACTTCGTCTTTACTAATATTATAAGAAAAATTTGCTTTCAGCGATGCTTCATCAATGCATAAAATACAATATTTGTCTGTGGGAACTGCAAAAGTACTTATTTTGTTCCGTAAACCATCTAATAAAAAATCATGCAAGCCCGGTGAAATTTTGAAATTAGTTATCATACGTTGTAAGGTTCGTATTGACGGTAATATAAATGTTTTCCTCAATAAATCATAGCATTTTGCATTACTAAAATACAAACTCAAGCAAAATTCTTTAAAATCTTGAGTATATTTTCTACCTTTTTTCGATTGCTGATTCAGAAGAATTTGAGTTTTAACAAATTTAGCAAGGGGTGCTGGCAAAAAGTTATCTGTCAATTTTAAATAATCTTCAATGGTACAATCCTGAATCTTAATCTTTTTCCTATTTGTATCTTCCTTTTTCTGCAATCTTTTTATTTTCTTTTTCAGCAAGATATTTTTTCTTTTTAATAATTTTTTTCGAGGTGTGTTACTCGATAAACTTAAAACTGTTTGTATTTCTTTATTTTCCATACATTCATCTGCAAATAAATTTGAAATTATATACAGATTTATGAAGTATTGTAATATGATAAAAGTCTTTTGCAAAATTTACCTCTTTTCCTTTGCATTTCCGAATTTTTTTCAGGAACATAACTTGAAGTGTTTGTTTGTAGATGATCCAATGTAAAAATGACTGACTCTTTAAAAAAAAAACAAATGTACTATTACTTTTTATACCTTACATGAAGATGATTATTCCGGATCTACAATAGGTTTTTAAGCCATACGAAATAGACGAATCACAGTCAATTATTCTCCTTGCATTTGACTGTAATTGGTCAATTTCTTACAACTTAAGGCTTAAAATACCTATTGTAGATCTACCTCGATAAGCATGTTTGGAAAATATAAGAAAGAGATGTAATAAAAAAGATATTAGTAACACTTCTGTTTAAAATAACTTACCTGTTTCTAATGGTTCTTGGCAATTAGACTGATTGTGAGATATAATATCGCTTGGAATAACCTCTCCTTTTTGTAGATTTTGTTCTTTAGGAATAGCACTTGGTTGTAGCCTGTTTTGTAAATCATTCAGGAACATTTTTTGGGAAATGTGTAAAGCACAGACACGATGATTTCTATGCAGTTCCTCAGATGTTTTTCCTATTAGATCCTGACGTTTACAAGCTTCTATCCAAAGCTTACTTCTAAAAAATTTTTTACTAATTATTATTCATTTTACTAAAAAACTTGAATTTCATATATATCATATGCGAAGAATATGCTGAATACCAAAATAATTCGAATTA